TGGTGACTTGAAGTGTTTTTATGGAGTTTTTTTTCAATATTAAAGTTTGGCTAAATAGGAGCATCTGTATGCAGACATCATCTATCATTAACCAATTCAGAAATGGAAGATAATTGTGTGAATTATAGAAGGGAAAGGGAGGCAGGAGAGGCAGTATAACATAATTTTTAAGTGTGTAGACTCTAGAATACCTGAGTTTTAATTAATCAGAAATTGATTGATGAAAGCTAAGTTGCTCTTTGTGCTATTTTGATTTTCTTTTAGGTATAATAAAAAGGCAATAAAGACAATCTTTGTTTATTCATTTGTTGGTGAAACAATATGTGATGATCCTTCAAAGCAGTTACTGACCTTTAAAATATTGATATTAGAGTTTGTGTGGAGATGCTTTCTTTTCTGGTGTCCTAATCTATTTTCTGTGGCTTATAACAGAATATCTAAAATGGGGTAATTTATAAAGGAGCACAATTTATTCTTTATAGTTTTAGAGGTTGAGAAGTCCAAAATTGTGGGCCACATGTGATTAACAGCCTTCTTGCTGTTATGGATGCTCGGCAGAGTTCCAAGATAATGCAGAGCACTACATAATGAGGGGGCTAAGCATGCTAGCTCATGTCTCTCTTCCTTTTCTTATAAAATTTCTAGTCCCACTTCTGTGATAATCCATTAACTTATTAATACATTACACTATGTATGTATTAATCCACTCATGAGGACACAGTGCTTATTACCCAATAACCTCTTAAAGGGCTCACTTCTCAATACTGCCTTGCTGGGGATTAAGTTTCAAGGTAAGTTTCAGAGGGGACAAACATTTAAACTAGAGTACCTGGTAAAAATATTCCATGAGGAGGGTGTGCAGGCATTGCATGCCTTGATATAGTGAAGAAAGAAGCTGTGATGTTTGTGCTGTCTATTACCTGGCCAACATTGTGAAACCCCATCTCTACTAAAAATACAAAATTAGCTGGGTATGGTGGCATGTGCCTGTAATCCCAATTAAGAGGCTGAAGCAGGAGAATCACTTGAATCCGGGAGGTGGAGGTTGCAGTGAGCCAAGATTCTGCCACTGCACTCCTACCTGGGTGACAGAGTGAGACTCTGTCTCAAAAGAAAAGAAAAAAAAAAAAGGAATGTATTTTGTTTGGATGGGTGCAGAGGCTCAGACATGTAATCCCAGCACTTTGGGAACTGAGGCAGATGCATTGCTGCAGGTCAGGAGTTTGAGATCAGCCTGACCAACATGGTGAAACCCTGTCTCTACCAAAAAATACAAAAATTAGCCAGGTGTGGTGGCATATGCTTGTAGTGCCAGTGCTTGGGAGGCTGAGGTGAGAGAATTGCTTGAACCTGGGAAGTGGAGGTTGCAGTGAGCCGAGATTATGCTACTGCACTCCAGCCTGGGCAACAGTGAGACCCTGACTCAGAAAAAATCGATTGTGTTCACTTGTTATCTGTTTTTGTTCACTTATTTATACTAATATTAGTGTAGATAATTTGGGACTTGTTTAGGTATAAGGTAAAACAATTAAGTATCTGCTAGTGTGGTTAGAAACTATTATTTTCAGTGTAAGACAATATAAATACTAGTAAAACATCGAAGATTTCATGAAAAAGATGACTAGGAGAGATCAGTAGAAACTCATACATTTAAATATGAATTCTGACCCCTTGCCAAATCCACTGAAAGTGATGTAGATGTAATGACATCCCACTGGTTATGAGCACCCAGAGCAGTAAGATTGAGGTTTTCAAATATCTTTGCCCACTAAGAGGAACCAGTACTGCTTGGTGAAAGCAGTACTGTAGAACTCAGTGTCTGTAGAAGCGAATATGAAGAAGTTAATTTTCTTAACAGTGTATTTTGAAAAGTAGACATTATCATTATAATGAACTCCAACTTAAAAACTTTAATTTTATGTTTGTATTTTTGTAGCCTGTTTGAAAAATGCTTGCATAACTCAAACTCAGTTTTCTTCTAAAACTTTAGTTTCTTGCTTTACGTTTATGTCCATGACCTACTTCAAATTGATTTTTATATATAGTGTGAGCTAAATGTCAAGGTTCATTTTTTTTTGCACATAGATTTCCATCTTTGTAGCACTACTTGTTGAAGAGACTACATTGTCTATTGAATTACCTGATAATTTTGTTTAAAATCATTTGCTCAGAATCATTATGTATGGCTTGATTTCTAGAATCTGTCTCGTTTCATTGACATGTCTAATCTTATGCCAGTGCCACAGTCTTAATTAGTGCAGCTTTATAATAGGCCTTGTTATCAGGTAGGGTGCTTCTTACAACATTGTTTTTCTTTTTCAAAGTACTGTGCTCTATTCTAGGTCATTTGCAATCCATGTAAATTTCTGAATCAGCTTGTCAATTTCTACCAAAAATTGCTTGCCGGGTTTTGTATACGTGCATATTGCATCCAACATACAGGTAAGAATTAAGATATCAGTTCCACTTTGAGGAGAATGGATACCTTAACAATATTGAATCTTTCAGTCTTTAAACATTGTATCTCTCCAATTATTTAGATATTTTACAAAACCTGCTTATTAGGTTTAGTAAGTATTTTGTGCAGTTTTTGAGATCTTCTACATAGAAGGATATGTGTCTACAAGTAACACTTTCATTTCTTCCTTTCCAGCTTGCAGGCCCACTCCTTACTTTGCTTTATTTATTGCACTGGCTAAATTCGCCAGTATAATATTAACCAGAAATAGAATCAAGTAAATATTCTTGCCTATTTTCCCAACCGTTAAATATGATGTTTACTGTAGGTTTTCTGTATCTGCCCTTTAATTATTTGAGAAGGCTGCCCTTTATTCCCAGTTTATTTAAAGTTTTATGCTAAGTGGATGTGAACATTTTTTGTCAAATATTTCTCTTGCATCTACTGAACTGATCATACAATAATTCTGTTTTAGGCTATGGATATGAAGAATTACATCACTTGGTTTTATATGTTGAACCAAACTTGCATTCCTAAATTAAACCCTCCTTGGCCATAATGTACTTTTCTTTTCAAATATTCCAGAATTTCATTTGCAAATATTGTTAAGATTGTTTGTGTCTATGTTCAGGAGAAATATTGGTCATTAATTATTTTTTTCCTGAATGTCTGTCTGGGTTTAGCCTTAGGGTAATGCTAATCTTAAAAATTTCAAAAAGGGATCCTTCCTCTTTTCTGGAAGATATATTGTAGAATTAACATTATCTTTTAGTAAAATATTGTTATATTCAAATCTTTTTAGTGTCTTCTAAATATCTGTAGATTCTGAAGTAATGTTCTCCCTTTTCATTGCTTATATTGGGTATTTATGCCTTACTTATTTAACTGTAATACTGGGGGATTATCAATTGCATTATTTTTTTGAATCAACAATACATTTTTTTGAGACAGGTCTCACTCTGTCACCCAGGCTGGAGTGCAGTGGCACAATGACTACAGCCTTGAACTCCTGGGGTCAAGCTATCCTCCTACCTTGTCCTCCTAAAGTATGGGGATTACGGGCATGAGCCACAATTTTCTTGTTTTGTTGTTCCTATTTTGTGTGTTTCCCCATTTCTTCATCTTCTTTTATTTTTATCATGTCCTTTTTACTTTCTTGGAGTTAGATCACAATGTTTTTTATTCTAAACTATTGAGACAGATGTTTAGATATTTTCAGGCTTTCTTTTGCCTCATCTGTACTAACTGCTATACATCTTCCTCTATTACAGGTTTAGGCAGAATAAAATTTGTGAATGATATGCAGTAAATTTGTTTATTTGTTTTACTCATATGGATAACTGAGCCAGAAGCATTATTGAAAAGGTGAGTTTTCTCCCATTATTCTAGAATGCCAACTTTGTCATAATTCAAGTTTCTACAGGTAATTATCACTTTTCAGATTCTCTTTTACCATTATCTATATGACTACTGGAATAATACCACACTGCCTTAATTACACAGTTTTATAAGAAGTCTAATAAATTATCCAAATTTGTTCTTCAAAAGTGTCTTAGCTACTCTTGCCTTGGAGCATTTTTGTATGTAATTTTAGAACCAAATTGTAAGATTTTTTTAAAAGCTTGCTGAGGTTTTAATATGGGGTTCATTGACTATTGTGGAAAACTGATGTGACTTTGCTGAGGAGTGAAGAATATGACTAATTGCATGTATTGGATACACTGTTGGGGGCAATCATAGGACGTACAGATTAAAAAAATATGAAGAACAGACTATCAGAGTAAGCCTGATAAAAGAGTTATGCAAAACAAGACATCAGAGTAAGCTCAATGTAAGTATTGATGAAAACTAGGTATCTCCAATTTACTAATGGGGGGGAAGCTTAGTTCCATGTAATTGTAGCTTTAGTTCCATATAGAGAGCTAAAAATCCACTAAAGTTTTATAGCCATGTGCTAGCTACCTAAATGCTACATAGTATTTTCATTTCTGTTATTCAACAATGAAATTAGCAATTCTATTTTATGATTGGGCTTGCTCCTTTGGATTTCTCTTTCCTCACCCCAGCAATATATAAATCACCTGGGATGTAGAGGAAAGACATCTTTAATACTGAGTTCCCACATCCCTGTCCAGTGTGCCCTCTACTCTACAGTGGTTTGCAACCAGAGGAGCTCCATGTTTTCACAACACACAGTTCAGCCAAGCAGGAAGGGGATTGAGTGGGTAGGAAATCAAGCAGGAAATATGTGCAGATGCTGTGTTTATCACACAGACATTCTCATCCTTGCCTTGAACATACTCATTCTCAAGTATGCTCTCCTGCTGGTCACCTCCAGCAAGGGTGCTCATCTAAAAATGCTTATAGGGAAATAGATGGAATAACAAAAAGCAGAGTAGGAGATATTTTAGAGACCTCATGTTCTCAAGGTTATGCAGGCATGACTTCTCATCTCAATAATTTTCCCCTGTAAATTTTCAGGGAAAACAGTTGGGGTTTCAAGGCAAGAATCACTAAGAAGTGAAGAGACATTAGGCAGGTCTTTATGTGCAATCACCACAGTTTATATAGGTATATGTAAATAAATGCAAGTGTTAAAAAAATGTAACCTTAACATAGCAAAGATAAGGCCACCAGGATCAGAAGACAGTAAAATGAGCCACTTACAGGGATGGGCAATCAAAAGCAGAGTGTCCAGAGGGCAAAGCAAGTTCAGATGTGGCTTTTACACATTAGTCTTAGCATCTAATCCTTCGAGAGTAAAGATTTAAAAAGTACTAATATTAACTGAAAATGAGCACTGCATTGTATTTGTACTTACTGATAAAACTTACTCAGAGAGGGGAAGTATGTTTGCCTAAAGTCAATCTGTAAATCACTGAGCCAGGATTAAACCCAAGAATATCTGGCCTCAGTGCCAGTATTTTTCAGCTACAAGTTTCCAGCTTGGGGGAGTAAAAGGGAGACCTGCTCAAAATACATCAATCTCAAGGTCCTTTCAGAGGTGCAGGTCAACTTATATGCTTGAGATGGGAAAATGCATACACATAAACTTTACTGAATATGATCAACCTATCTTTCCATTTTTTGTACAAGAACTTTATATGTAGCTTTAGGGATCATACTCCAGTCCCTTCTTAAAATAGTTTCTAGGTTTTATTTTGTTGTTTACTCAAGCTTTCTTCCATGTCTTTTTTTTTTTTTTGAGATGGAGTTTCGCTGTTGTTACCCAGACTGGAGTACAATGGCACAATGTCGGCTCACCGCAAACCTCTGCCTTCTAGGTGCAAGCAATTCTCCTGCCTCAGCCTCCCAAGTAGCTGGGACTACAGGCACGCACCACCATGCCCAGCTAACTTTTGTATTTTTGGTAGAGACGGGTTTTCACCTTGTTGACCAGGATGGTCTCGATCTCTTGACCTTGTGATCCACCCGCCTCGGCCTTCCAAAGTGCTGGGATTATAGGCGTGAGCCACCACGCCCGGCCAATGTCTTTTATAGAAAATTACTTTATGGCCATAATTATACCAAACTAATATCAGCAGTTTCACAATGGCTGATTATCATTATGTAGTATAAGGGAATATGCAACTTGATAATATTCTGTATGCTTAACTTGCTGTGTTGATCACTGAGTTCATAACTTTAAAAGCTTCACATGCCATGTTAAAAATTTCTTCATTTATATAACGATTTTCCATTATCTTTGCTGGAAAAGTTAGGCACCACCATACTAGAAACATAAATTCCCTTAAAAAATTTTATCTTTTGGGATGCTGTCCCCAAGATTATCAAATTAATTGGGTTTCTAGTAATTATTAAGGCTTGAGCTAATACTAAGGCTTTTCTGTGGCCAGTTCATTATGATTTTACCACTTTATGAATTCTCTGGTGTACAGTTAGTTGTGACTTCTGGATGAAGGCTTTCCCACATATAGCACATTGATAGGGTCTTTCCCCGGTATGAATCCTTTGATGTAAAACAAGGTCAGACTTCTGAGAAAAGGCCTTTCCACATTCAGCACATATGTAAGGTTTCTCTCCTGTATGAATTCGCTGGTGTCCTGGAAGGTGGGACTTCTGAGAGAAGGCTTTCCCACATTCAGTACACACATAAGGTTTTTCTCCTGTGTGAATTCTCTGATGTCCAATGAGATGTGACTTCTGACAGAAGGCTTTGCCACATTCACTACATTTATAGGGTTTCTCTCCAGTATGTGTTCTCTGATGTATGATGAGCTGTGACTTGCGGGAGAATGTCTTCCCACATTCAGTACATTCATAAGGTTTTTCCCCAGTATGAACTAACTGATGTGTAATGAGTTCTGTCTTCCTGCTGAAGGCTTCTTCACATTGAGCACATTTGTAGGGTTTCTCACCAGTGTGAATTCTTTTATGTATAATGAGGTGGGACTTCTCACAGAAGGCTTTCCCACATTCAGTACACTCATATGGCTTCTCTCCAGTATGAGCTCTATGGTGTATAATCAGCTGTGACTTCTGGGAAAAGGCCTTCCCACACTCTCTACATTCATAGGGCTTTTCCCCAGTATGTATTCTCTGATGTATAATGAGGGGTGATTTCTGGGAGAAGGCTTTCCCACATTCACTACATTCATAGGGTTTTTCCCCAGTGTGAACTCTCTGATGTATAATAAGGGATGATTTCTGAGAGAACGCTTTTCCACATTCAGAACAATCATAAGGTTTCTCCCCAGTATGAGTTCTCTGATGTACAACAAGATGAAACTTCTCACTGAAGGCTTTTCCACATGCACCACAGTCATATGGTTTCCTTCCAGTATGAATTCTTTGATGTACAATGAGCTGTGACTTCTTAGCAAAGGCTTTCCCACATGTAATGCATACACAGGTTTTCTCTTTAGTTTCAACATTCTGATATTGAATAAGGGATTGTGTATTGCTTAAAACATTTCCACGCTGATTATCCTGAAAAGGTATTACTCCATTTTGAATCTTCTCAAGATTAGAACTGGGATCACTCGCACCAGATGATTTTCCAACTCCAAAACTTTGATCAGGTTTTTTTCTTGAATTGCTATTACAACTCAGTATGTCAATATTTGGTTTTAAGTTCTTTTTAAAAGCATCATATTTATGGAATCTCTGTATTGATGTATCTGGTTCTATGTACTCTTGAAACATTTTTCCCAATGGATTATCTTTATGCCCTGATGCCTCAGTCACTGTTTTGCTATTAACAAATGTGACCTGCCTGAAGAGTTTGTCTTGATTCTCCAGAAATCTCTGCAGCTGGCCATCACCTTGATAGACTTTTAAAATGGAGCACAATGAACCATCCTTTGTGATTCCTTTCAGTATCTTATGTTGGGAAAAAACTGTCTCCAAAATATATGACTCAGAGTTGTGAAGGTTACTCTTCCTGTCTAAAAGAAGAAAAGATACAATTTAAGAGTCATCACAAGAGTCAATTAACAGATGGTGAGGAAGTGGAAGAAACAGATGATCCAACATAGTAGATGAACTCACAATAAAGGGATGGAAACGGGCCATCTCAGAAGACAGTACAGCATATAGAGTTATCAGGTGAATAGATAGACAAGAATCTTTAACAGAAATATTCATGTAAAAACTAAACTTAGATGAAACAATGTCTGGGTTCTCATCACTCTAATTTTGAATTTTAGAATCTTTCACTTCTGCTTTCTGAATAAAAAAACCCTTTTTACTGTTTAATTTCATTTATATTATAAATGATATGCTACATATTCTTATTATCCTGCCATCATTGTAAAGAAGGTATCCTCTGTAAGCAAAATACTTTAACTCTGGTCAATCTATTTTCCTAACAACTAACATAAATAATAGAAAAATCCAATATCCCATTACAGATCCAGTATCAAACTGAGAATACAGACTTAAATTCTACTACTCCCAGTAAACTACTTTCTATACATGTCAATTAAAGCAAGCAAAGGTCTCCCAGAAAAGCTGTATCTTCCTGACACTAAGGTTTTGTTCATATACTCTCTCTCCAACACTGTTTGCTTGCCTTCACCCTCCTCCTTCAGTCTCATCAGCATTTATGTCATTCAGAGCAGTTATAGTTGCAAGCTCTGAAAAACGTCTCTCAAATTCTCCCACATTTCTTTAGTCTCTAATTCTCTCTAAACTTTTAAAACAGCAACATATTTGACATTTAATTTTGTACAGTCATTCATCTGGGAATCTTGCCTTCTAAAGTACAACTTATGTCTTAAAAGGAATTTGTCTTTTATTGCCTTTAAACCCTTTCAGGAAAGACACTAGATATATAGTGTCATCCAGTTGAGGTATGTATATATACGTATGTATGTATGTATGTATATATACTATATGTATATATATTTTTAGTGATCCCGTCTCCTGCGTGTGTATGACAGGATCAACGAAAAATAGCACTCCTTTGACAGGCTTCACAATTACTTGTTGAGTGACTACTAAATTCTCAGCATAGAAGCAAAGAATAGGAGATTTCAATAAGGATAGAAACATAAGCCTTGGGCACCAATCAATTAAAAAAACACACATAAACTGATATTTCACTTCCCTTGTCTCCCATCTGCCTGATATTCATCTGGATAGATCCAATTTGATATGTCTGTCTTTAGGATCCATGGCTCTTCTCCTTGTTCCAACTTGCAGATTACATCTGGTTTGGAAACGGGATACCCTATTAAACAGAAATCACAGAGAATTGGGATTGACTGCACTAAAGGAAGAAGGGAAGGTACAGTTTCAGGTGGTCTACAGTGAAGTCCAGTTAGCCCTCAACAAAGGCATAACCTCCATTTGCAAAGGTATGAAGGTCATGAAAGTCGTGACATGTGTCAGAAACTACCTAATCATATCATGTGATAAGGAAAGGCACTTGCTTGGACAACTCTGAGTTATTCAAGGAAGCCATCCTTACCCATTGAGACCAGGTGGCTGTAGTTCTCCAGCATCACGTCCCTGTACAGGGTCCTCTGAGCAGGGTCAAGTTGCTGCCACTCCTCCTGGGTGAAATCCACAGCCACATCCTTGAATGATACTAATCCCTGTAATAGTACATTCCTGTTCAATCTGAAGTCATCATCTCATAATTTCTACTATAGTGTACACAACTTCACCCACACCTAGTTTTGTATCATATAGTTTTGGGGAAAAACAACATAAAATCCTGTTTTTAGCAAGCAGATCCAGGCATATGAGGAGAAAGAAAAAGAGGTAGACCATAAAATGCCTACCTAATACATATAGTAATTTCATAAATTTTAAAGGCAGCACCCAAATAACTGAGAGGAAGATGGTTTATTGGATGAATAGTAAACAGGAAAATAATAATGCTGAAGAAACATTATGGGTTGAGTTGTATCTCCTGAAAATTTATAGGTTGAAGTCCTAACCCCCAGTACCTCAAAATGTGGTATGACTTGGAAACAGGATCATTGCAGATATAACTAGCTACATGAGGTCTTCAGGGTGGAACTGAATCCAATATGATCCACGTCTTTATCCAAAGGGGGAAATTTGAACACAGAGAAAGACATATATAGAGGGAAGATAATGTGAAGAGAAAAAAGAAGATAGTTAAGAAGCCAAAGAGAAAAGAATGAAACAAATACATCCCTCACAGTCATGAAGAAGGAACCAACCCTGTGGACACCTTGATTTTTGGATGTCTAGCCTCTAGAACTAGGAGACTAAATTTTGTGGTACTTTGTTGTAGCAGCCCTAGCAAACCAATACACTATATCATACCTGGGCAAAAAGAATAAATTCTGATGGAATAAAAATTTAAACTCTAAAAAGTGCTAAAGACTATACAAGTAACAAAACAAGAAATGGGAGAATTAGTGATTATAGAGCAGAAAAGCCCTTTGTAAGTACATTTTTTAAAAAAAGAAAAGCGACATTTAGAGAACTATAGAATGTCAGAGTTCTAGAAGATCATTAATCTAATCTCTTTATTTCACAGGAAAATGACCTTAGCTTCCCCAAATTTAGTAGCTCTCTTATATACATATAATAGCTAGTAACAGAATGAATATACCAAATTACAGTAGCAACAAAAAACAAGAAATCCCAAATAATAAACTGAACAAAAAATGTACAGAAAACATTAATGAAGAAACCATAACAAATTAGTGACATAACATCAAAAAAGAATTTGGGTAAGAGTAGTTATAAAATGTTTCTGGAGGGAAAACTGACTATTTTAATTACGTCACCATTACCCTCACAATAGTTGTTAAGTAATAGCAAAAACTAATAGTGAGTTGTATTATTTTAAATAAATTGTTCAGACTTTTTTCTAAATATTCCATTATTACCAAATATCACTTTCAGAATGAAACTGATTATTTCGAATGTCAACACTACGGCTTAAAAAAAAACTCCTTTGTTTTCTTCTTTGCTAATAGTCTCATCTCAGTCATCTCAAATCTCAAGTTTTCTCTCATCCCACACCAATTCCATATGCACACCATTAAGCTGCCAAACATTTAGTTGTCCATGGCAACCCTATTAATTTTCCTGTTGTACATATAAGACAACTGAGGATTACAGTGGTTAAATAAATAGTTGCCAAATTACACACTAAATATATGATTGATGAACTCTCTTATCTGCAAGATTTATTCTCACTCAATACTCTAGGTTCTTGACTACTGCAGTCTAAACTGCCTCCTTGATATGGTAAACATCATGATCTTTTATATTTTATCATTTCAATACCACCCTTAGTTGACCTTTCCATGAAGCACTCTCTATTTTAGTTTTCCTAAAATCTTCAGCCTTCCTAAAATCACTGTGTCCTTTCTACTTTTACAAATGCTGCTTCCTGTCCTCAGCCTACTTCCCTCATGAGCCAAGGTTAATAATCATTTAAGCCCATTACCTGCTTCCTTAGAAACCTGGTTGTTCCTCCCTCTCTGCTGTAACAGTACCTGCTCCCATGTCTGCTACAGAACTTTTATGTGTTAATGTTGGTTTCCACATCTTTTTACTCATTTTTTCTCTGCAGTCCTCCCAGAAGAAAACTAAACCTAAATCTGCTTGAGATATTCAACAGCTACGCCAGTGCATATGACATATACCGGGTACTTAAGAAACATTTGTTAAAAAGAAATGAATAAAGATTACAAAGAAAAAGTAAATTAAAATTCATGTTTAGTTAAAAACTATTTTGTATATTAGTCTACATTTTTTGATCTGAAAAGTAACATGAGAAAGATAATAGAATATAGAGGAAATCCATTCTAAGACATAGATTCATAGATGTTATCATTCTAACATTCTGATTTTACTTTGTTAATGATACTCAAATGCTTCCATATAAATAGGTAGAAATTTCTTAATTTTGAAAAAATATAGCACACAATCAGTGGAAAACTATACTTTTGTCACCTATGAACAACTTTTACAGCTCGGTCACTGGGGAAATGGAAGTGCTACGAAGAGATGAAAGCAATGAAAGGGAAGTAGGTGTTACAGGCTGAAAAGGAGGCTATGTGTAATAATGACTTCACTTCTGGATGCCAGGGAACAAATATAAAGCCTTTTTCCTGAAGAAACAGCATTTAATCAACTAATTAGCCATAGTAGTTGGATTTATTGAGCTAATTAAAAAATCCATTCTCCTTTAAAGCAGTGCCATGTAGCAGAAATAAAAAGCTAACCAGAGAGGCAAGTTTAAATTTTCTAGGAACCACATTCAAAAAATTATTTCCAACAATATGTATTTATTCTAACATATTACTCAAGATATCATTTCAACATGTAATCAATCCTTAAAAACTACTAGTGAGTTTTTTTGAAATCTACTATGTACTTAACACAACATATCTCAATTCAGAGTAGCCAACTTCAAGTGTTCAGTAACCAGATTTGGCTGATGGCTACTATATTAGACAGTATGGCTCTAAAGCAAAGCTATTGAAATACAGAAACAAAAACAACAATGAAAAAAATCTTTTTGCAACAGAACTCTAAACTCTACTGTAAAATATACATAAGGACTCCTAATGTAAAAGCTGATTTCAAGATTTGACAATGATAATGATGATGATGATATAATTATAACAGCTGACACTTAAATACAGTACAAACCATGCCCCAATGATAGTTTCAAGCATGGTTTTTACTCAAGTCTCACAACAACCCTATAAGGATTATAATCTCTATCTATAAGGTGAGGAAACAATTCCAGGCAACCAGGCCACAAGGAAATATTATGCACCTGATAAAATAATAAAGGAGAATTCCGCATTGATTTATTGGGCTAATTTAAAAATCCATATAGAATTCTCCCTTATTATTTTATATAGAATTCCATATAGAATTCTCCTTAATTATTTTATCAGGTGCATAGTATTTCCTTGGGGCCTGGTTGCCTGGGATTGTTTCCTCACCTTATAGATATGGAAAGATCTCTCAATGTATACAAAAGACCTTTATATTGGACAGTAAGTTAAAAATCAGGTTGCAGAACAAAATGTTTACTATAACATTCTTTTTCTAAAGGAAAAGTGCAGAAAATAGAGGACATTCTCACACATTTGTACTTTTAATTAAACAGTTAATTACAGTTATATTCATATCAAAAAAGATTTGGAAAGTTAGAAGCAATGGTTAACACTGATTATCCTGGGAGAAGGGGAGTTTAAGTTAAAAGGTCTCTTTGTTTTAAATTTTTATCTTTTATATAATTTTAAATGTTTATACCATGCATATAGCAAATGCTGGCAGAAAGAAAAAATAATACAAACTTTTAAACATCAGAACACAAAGAAGGAACAGCCTTGAAATTGACAGTAATCCTACAAATTAGAAAGTATAGCAAAAGGTATGGAGCATCAGGGACCTTTGCCCTCCAAAGATTTGCCAGATAATTTAAAAACTGCTTTTTTGAGAGAAATATATAGTTTAAAAAAACATTCAAAATATGCCTATCTTACATTAATGAATTTACCTTTGGATAAAGCTGTAATAAAGGAAACATCTGTAGTCAATTTATTCCTCAAAAGCAGAGGTCAACAAACTTTTTCAGTAAAGTTTATATTTTTGGCATTGCAGGCCATATGGTTTCTGTTACAACTACTCAGCTCTGCCATTGTAGCAAGGAAACAGCCATAGACAACAAGTAAACACACAGCTTGGCTGTGCTCCAATGAAACTATTTATAAAAACAGTTGGAGAACAGAATTTGGGCCATGGATAATAATTTGCCAACCCCCACTCAAGAATAAGGTTCAAGGAGTTTGTCTAGACATTATGGTACATCCCCTCTAAAGAAGATCATTTTAAGACACGACTACAAGAAACCTGTGGATTTGCCAAAGGAGTGTTGGTGAGGACACTGTGCACTCCACCTCCTAGAGTAAAAGCCAAAAAGGAGTTTTTTTTAAGTCTTATATGGCAAGAAATATTTTCTTACCATGGGAAATTTATCTTTATCTTTAGGGAAATGCAAATCGTGTAACTCATGATGTCTGCAAGAAAGATCAGAAAAATTAGTACACCGATTTATAAAAATGGTTTCCAGCCAGGTTTTTTACATATCACCTAGGAACTCTTTCTAGGTCTTGATCTTTATTGTTACCACCTTTTCCTTAATCCAGATTTTAGCTATCTTTACTTTCCATTTTATTGTATGGAAAACCAAAGAAGAAATTTTTTTTAAAAAAGCAACTCACCTGGGACTTCATCATTTTTTGTTCTTCCAAAAGGCCAGATGACTGAAAAAGCAAAACTGGTGATCAGAATGTTTTTCATAGCCGAAACCCAGACTGCAGCTTTCACTTTCACCAGTCTAGCAACAACTAACATCAGAAGTCAGGTAGCTAATGGGCTATCCTGTGGGATAATGTTGTTTGAGCCTTACAGAAGGATCAGCAGGCACCATGTGGCGGAGGGATCATTCTTTACTCCTCTTTTACCTATAATATGACCAACGTATTACAGGTAAAAGGTTTTATCATTGGGTAGATGTGAAGATGTTTCCAGTTGATTTAGTAACAACTTATTGCTCCCCCAGAGAATCAGGAATTCTATTTATAGAAGATTTTCATGAGGCAATAATCATGGATAGCTATAAAAAGATATAAGTGAAGATGGAGCTCCTTGGCAATAAGAATGGGAATAACTAGATGGAAAACTGAAGCATGCATTCCCTATTTCTAAAAAGAACCAGCAGCTGAATCCAACAATCTTCCAAAAACCCTCTTATTTCCCCCAACTCAGAAAACTCTTGTTATATCAATATGCATGAACTCAAAGGTTAATTTTAAGATGTTTTTTGTTTAAATTTGTTTTGCTGATTTTCAATGGTGCTATTGTCTGCATACAAAATGGAGATAGGTTTCAACCACTGAAAAAAGAGAATATACTAAATGCAGGAAGGTACATACCTGGTAAACTTTTCTCAGTCCTGGGATAAGTCATGCAGACAGAGCTGAACTACTTCAGAGGAAGTGGGGGCTCCCATGACAGAGAGATTATTTTATATGGAGTATCCTAGGCTGTATCAAAACAGATCTAAATGGAAACAAAAGAAACAGTCATACTTATCTCTGGACACCCAACAGATGCTCAACAAATGTTTTTTGAATAAAAGATAAAATGATTTCAATAAACGTAGAAAGTGGAGACTGAAATCAAACTTTTCATTGTGATTCTATCAGTTTTGATTTGTTTGGTCTTGTTTCTAAATGATCATTTCTGATGGGGGCACCAGGCTTAGGGGGCAATGGTAGACTAAGAAAAGATGTGAAAAGGGGCTTGACCTTTAGGAACTCAACAGTTGCCTATGAGCTGAGGAAATTTAATATAAGTAAAGGCTTCCCCAGTAAAATGTAGCTGACTCCCATGACACCCTGGTCCCATGACTGTCTCCATCTAAATCTCGGAAGTCTCAGGCCTAGCAATTATGTACCCTACTGAACTCTCCCACACAATTATGTACCTACTGAACGCCCCCATCATTTAGTCCATAGCCTTCTATCACTGATTCCTCAGAGCCCCCTAAATCACTGACACCAGTTAAACCCACCAGTCAGTCCACCTGCACGCCAATCCTGACCCCAAAGGCACCCCCTCACCTCTCACTTCCCAGTGACTAATCACATCTTGGACTCCCACATAAAACCAACACTAATCCCACCTACCTCCCCAAACAGTGACGTGATAAACCTCCTACCACTGACCCTCACGGGCTCCTCTCCTCCCATTCCATCCCAATTCCACAGACTCACCTTTGACCGAACACATCCCCGCCTCTGACTCCTAGCTCGATTATCAGATCCCCAAACCCCCATCACCGCTGAATGGGAACCGCTGTCACATCCATATTGGCGAACTCTCTTGCTTCCTGTCCGCGAGCGCAACGCTGGTCTCCCCAGGCAGGGCTGTTCCGTACGGGGCGGTTTTGCCCGTTTCGCATCTTCAGCGGCTTTGTTCAAGAGGCAACATGGCTGCTCCCAGATGCTGTTCCCGAGTGGAGCCGTCATCTTGAGAGCCTGGTCGTTTCCGTACAAGCGGAGGATTTGCCGGGTATTGAGCCTGAGTGTGGGCTGTACCACCGCGGCAGCAAAGGGAGGGGAAGACGACGGGAAAGAGGCCTACGACAGGGACAGTAAGGTGCACTCTTTTACAGACAGATTCTACAAGAGAGATTGAAAAGGAAGTTGGAGTGAGCCGCCCTCTACTGGAAGAATGTTTCTGACGAAAGGGGAGGAATTCGAATTGGTACCATGGACGTGTTTGTGAATGGTACAGTCCCATGCCGGGAGATTCGATTTGCTGCGAGGGGTAGCGTGGAATGGTGCGGTCCTCTCCTGGGAGATTTCACTGAGGGAGGAGAGAGGGCCAAAATCTGGGGGCGAGGAGGGCTGAACAATCATCGTGAACTGTAATTATGCCAATAACAACGGTAAGGAATTCTTATAAGAGAAATCGATATTGCAGTAATAAATTATAGAGGTCGACTGAAGGAAAAACGGAAATTAAGAGGCAGGGAAGAGACTGAGGCACAAAGAGAGTGAGAAGCAGGGAATCGAGAGAAAATGGGGGAAATGGGGACAAAGGGCAAGCCTAGAAGGAGAAATGGGAGACTAAAAGAAAAAAAATCGACATAGGAATAGAAGTGGGAAGCTAAGGGATAGAGCGCTATAGAGAGACTGAGACAGAAAAGAGACTTGAAAAGCAGAACCGACGTAAGGGAAAGACTGAGGAGGTTAGATTTCACAGACAACAACAACCGTGATTTTTAAAAAAATGAACCAGCCAAAGAGAATACTAAAATTATTACCTTAACCTTTAGGCCTTACATCAAGCTTTACAAAAAAATGCATGTTCACGGACCAATGTTTCATTTGTATGAATGAATACAATTTTGAATCATAATTTTCACATGAATCATGCTTTTTGATATATTATGAAATGGGCAGCAATTTTACACTTAGCAATTTTATTTCTCATGTCAAAACAAATGCAGACTTAGATAAGAAGACAATGTATTCAGAAAGACTGTCCGCATTAAGAAGAATGCTCCAATCTCAAATCTGCAAGCATCACAATATCCAACAAAATGGCTTTCTTTTTTTAAATAGGGAAGAGTAAGAAAGGTTAGCAGGAACTTTGTAGGGAGGAGGATATGAGGTAGGGGTGTGCAGGTGGCAAAACCAGGGCATTTCTACAGGAATTGTTTCTGTTTTCATGGGATTCTGAGAATAAGCGGTTACAGGGAGACGTTCTGCATCATAGTACATTAGTGCAGTGTTTCAACTCACAGTGGGCCAACGTGTAGGGGCCTGCGGGAAGGAGAGAAGTCGGACTAAAGTTTGGTCAAGACAAAGAGGATAAGAAATGGTTGGTTGTGAGTACTTAACTTCACATCTCTATTTAGACTTCCACAGTTAGATCAATATTGATTTCTTGCCTTGAGCTTAAGACAGTGTAGACACCGAATTAAGTGGTAAGGGTATATAGCAATGATTAATTCAGAACCCTTAGCCTCAAGGAGTGATGCCAGCGTAAGTTGTGGAGTCAGGAAACGGCCAGACTCTGCTACTCTTCCTATGCGGAGAGCCTTGTAGGAATTGTAAAAACTTTAGTTCTTCATCTTAAGAATGATGGAAAGCTGTCCTTATATAATATAGTATTTAATTAAAAAAGAAAATGTTGAAGGAACAGGAAACCTCCCTCATAATGAAAGGAAGAAAATTAAAGCCATAGTAAGATACCATTTCTTATCTATTTGCTTATAAAGTATTACTGTAAGTTTGGTAATACCGTCAGTAAGGCCATGGGAAGTGGGAACTTTCATGTATTACTGTTGGAACAGCAAACTTGTCTAGCCGCTATTTAGAGGGGTTGGCAATATCTAGCAAAACTACATGTATTAGTTATCTATTGCTGTGTAACAAATTACTCAAAACTTAGCAACTTGAAATTGTAAATATTTATTGTCTCATAGATTCTGTGAGTTAAGAATGAGAACAGCTTGGCCTGCTGGTTCAGGTTTAGTCTCTCATGAAGTTGCAATCAAGCCATTGGCCAGGGCTGCAGTTATTTTAAGGCTCAACTGGAGGTGGGTATGCTTCCAAACTCAATCAAATAGTGTGGGCAAGCCTCAGAATATCAGTTTCCAAGCTTGCCCTCATGGCTGCTCCAGGCCTCAGTTCCTCACTATGTGGGCCCTTTGTTAGGCTACCTCACTGCTTTCATGATATGGCAGGTGTCTTCCTCTTTCTAAGGCTGCCTCATGATATGATAGCTGACTCTGTACAGACCAAGTGAGTCAAGGGGGAGGGAACACACACAAAAAAGTAGCCACAGGCTTTTTATAACCTAAATTGGAAGTGGCATCTGATTACTTTTTCTGTATTCTCTTGGCTAGAAGTGAGGCATTTAGGCCAGCGCATAATCAAAGGAATGGGAATTGAGCTCTACCTCTTAAGGGGAGGATTATCAAAGAATATGTGGACATAGCTCTAAAACCACAGCACTATATAATTTTCACCCTATGATTCAGAAACCCCACTTGAAGAATATATTCCAGAGATATACCAGCAGAAAATAAAATAGCCAAAAGATTATTTATTGCAGGACTGTTTTTAATACAAAAAGACAGCACATAACAAACATTTAAAACAGTACTATTCTGCTGTGGATGTGGATGTGAAAGGAATTAGAGGACAGAGAGAGGGAGGGAGAAATATATCTTTCTGTACTAACATGAAGTGAATTTCAGGATATAATATTATGTATCCTGAAATTAATTATATTAAGGATATGTAAAAAACAAAGTGGAAAAATGAAAATAATTTGCTATTACCATCTTTAACATAAAAGTGAATGAATATAGCTTGTGCTGCCGCTAGGGGTAGCGGCGGCAGGTGCTTTGAGGGCTCGGGAACCCTACAGAGTGGGGACGTGGGGAATCTACATGGTGAGAAAGCCGGCGGGAGAGGAGGGCGGTGCTGGAGTAGGGCGGCCGGTGGCTGACGCATCCCTCTGGAAGATCAGACTGATGGACACACACACTCACTCGCCCGTCCGCCCGCGCCGCTCCGCCTCAGCCGGGTGGCGCTCTCCCGCCCTCTCCGGGCGCTGTCCGGGTCCGGCCGTCTCAAAGAAAGTTTTTCCCATCCTAGGGGCCGGAGCCGCTGCGGGCCTTTTGGAAGGGCAGAGGGACGGAACAGGAGGCGAGAGCCGCGCGGGCCCGCGGATTGCGTGGTGCCCGGCGCCTCGGCTGCCTGGCAGGAGGACCTCGGGGCGGGGGCGGGGTCGGGCTGAGCCCAGCTACTTTTCCCCTTAGCCGCGCTAGAAACCGCCCTCCCGGACGGCCGCGGGGGTTCCCGCTCCTCTGGTCGTCACGTGCCGGCTGCTTCCGCAGCTGAGGAGCCGGACCGCGCGCAGCCTGAGGTCTGGCCCAGCCGCCGCCGCGCCGCTGCTGAGGGCGGGAGCTGCTGGCGCTCGCGCCCCACGGCGGCTTCCCGGGCGGCCCCCGGCGGCTGGGCACGCACCCCAAGAAGGAGCCCAGGGAGGCGTTGAACACAGCGCAGGGCGCGCGCGACTTCATCTATAGCCTACACTCCACGGAGAGGAGCTGCCTGCTCAAAGAGCTGCACCGCTTCGAGTCCATTGCCATCGCCCAAGAAAAATTGGAAGCTCCATTACCCACCCCAGGACAGCTGAGATATGGGAACCCATATTGAAATGTCTACTGGAATTATTTTGGGAATTTCAACTATGGCAGCTGCTGCTTTGGGAAATCTTGTGTCAGATTTAGCTGGACTTGGACTTGCAGGCTACGTTGAAGCATTGGCTTCTAGGTTAGGCCTGTCAATTCCTGATCTCACACCAAAGCAAGTTGACATGTGGCAAACACGTCTTAGTACACATTTGGGCAAAGCTGTTAGCTGCATTCTAGGAATGTTTCCTTTGATTTTCTTTGGAGGAGGTGAAGAAGATGAAAAACTGGAAACGAAAAGTTAATCCTCTTAGAATACCTATAAAAAGATGTAAACTAATGTACCTCAGTTATTAAATATGCTGTCACATGTCACGACATTTAGGAATTACAGTAACAGTATAGATATGGGATCAAATAATTTAGCATGTGTTATGGAAAACACTAACTTATTGTGGCTTGATCTTCTTAGGACATCTTTTTAAAAAACCATTCAGTATCATTTGTGTAAATTGTTGAAATGCTTTTTCATCAATAGCAGTCAACCTTTTATCTTTTCTTTTTGTGTTCATAATGTTATTTAAGTATCATTGACTTGGGGTTTGCTTATTTGTTACTTAACATGTGTACATGCATGAAAGCATTTTTGGTTGTTGTTCCCTGGTAGTTACATTTCAATCTTGAGATTTTCCCAAATTACTTAAGACGTTTAATATCAGTTAAAGATTTTTTTACCCTCTTTTTGGCAACATCAATTTTGTACTGTTATGCAGTAAACATTTATAATCATATAATTTCAGTCATTTTCTTAACTCTCACATCTGTTGAAAATAGATATGGATACAGATTTTAAGTATTTTAAGTATATGTCACTTATTTTAATTTTCTGACTTTACTATTTTAAGAGCCAGAGGTTAAGAAGAAAGAGCAATTATGTGGTCTCCCTGCTACATATACCCGTATATGCTAACAAGTATACTATTTTTAATTGTTTTTTTTTAACCTTTAGTTTCCCAGTTTTGAATAATTACATGGTGGGTTCTGACTTTTGAGGGGAAGAAAATGGTTATTTTAGAGTCTTTGAAATGGGGATTGTGGAATTAGATTGAACTAAGGGATTCAATATGATGCTTGAAAATTAAGAGGCTAAATTTTTTTTTTTTTTTAAGAAAATGTTGAAAATAGGAACTGTCAAGAAAGTTTATGGTATAAATGGTGGAGTTGAAATGATGTTTGGAAGGTTAATGAGCTACAATTATATTATTTAGGAAGGTTTCTTGTTTTTCCTCCAAATATGTCATCATCTCATCTGAATGGAATGAATCTGAATATTCCGTACTCATACTCCTAATCTCATTATATCTTACCTAGTGAATTTTATTTATGAATAATCTCTTTTGTAGTGAAAATTAGATATTTAATATTTTGCTTTTTTGCTAGTCTACTCAAAAATTACATGAAGGGAAATCCTCCCTGTTTGTTCTTTTGTGGTATTTAAAGAATATTTTAGGTTGAAGTTACTTATTTCTAGTTTTGTATATCTGACTTAAATAACCATGTAAGAATTATAAATTTTAGCCAGGCATGGTGGCTCACGCCTGTAATCCCAGCACTTTGAGAGGCCGAGGCGGGTGGATCATGAGGTCAAAAGATCGAGACCATCCTGGTCAACATGATGAAACCCTGTCTCTACGAAAAACACAAAAAATTAGCTGGGCATAGTGGCGCGTGCCTGTAATCCCAACTATTCAGGAGGCTGAGGCAGGAGAATTGCTTGAACACAGGAGGCAGAGGTTGCGGTGAGCCAAGATGGCGCCATTGCACTGCAGCCTGGGTAACAAGAGTGAAACTCCGTCTCAAAAAAAAAAAAGAATTATAAATTTTAGTTTTCTGAACCCTTAAACTTTTTAGCATGTAATCTGTTACACATGCTAAAAAAATTATTCTTACTTGTAACAGTGTAAATACATCATGGAGGAGAGAAACTTATAAGTATATAACATGCACAAATAATATAACATTCTTATTGAATCAAATCATAATTCTAGAGCTTGCGATCTTAAATAGAATTTTGTTTTTTATCTTCCATATAATACCACACACAGATAACCAGACAAAAACTTTGTAAAATTTCAGATTCATAGGATTAGAGTAGCTATATTTTGGGGAGGTAAAGTGTAGGTGCTTTCTTCTGTCCCTAACTTGTATATTGATGGCAGTCCATTCTGTTTTTCCAAAAATGTATGTGGTGCTTAACTTATTAATTAAATCTTATATCAGAAACCTTGCCTGTGAGTTTAGTAAGGGCTTTTGATTATTGTTTTTTATTTTTGCTCTTGAAAAGAATCCAGTCCTAGGGAATTACTGGTTTAATGGAACATCTGCAGAATTACTTAAGGTGTCAAAATATATAGACTTCACATTGAAAGATGATTTTAATTTATGGGCATAATAAAAATTTGAATCATTCAGGTAATAAAATTTCAAAAAATGGAGACCATTGGTCTTTGACTGAAGTTATATGTTTTTAAGATCATAGTCTACACTAGCATGGTGCTTTGCACGAAGTGATTTCTGAAGAATGGTTCTTTTTAAGATAATGACTTCATATGATCATTGCTTCATGTTATTTGCCACAAGGAACTTTAATTCAGGTTTAAACTGGAACTGTTTGTTTCTCATATTAGCTGCTTCTCTATTAGGAGCACAAGAACTATAGTTAAATGCAACATGAGCTACTTTGGTACTATTTGTTTGAAATTTATGTTGTCCATATGTTATGATTTATTAACTTGTTGATGCATGTAAATTGGGTGCATTTTGTTGCCATGTATGTTAAATGGTGACCAATGTTTTTACAAAGGAATTGAACAAAAAAGTATCTTTTAAGAAATAAAAAAAGTGAATGAATATATATATATTATATATATGTATGACATATATATAATAAGTTGCAATGAGAAAAAAATGAAGTGACCCCTTGGCCCAGTCATTTTTATTTACACCAGTTGTATCTTCTAGACAGTCATCATAAACCCTGGATTATCAAATACTGAACCATTGCTTCCAGGGGAAAAATAAAATTATATATATATATATATAATTTTGTAAAATTTTATGTAACTATATTATTTTATAAATAAAATCCCAGTTGGGACTTTATGTATATATATAGTGTATGTATATATATATATACATAGTGTGTGTATGTATGTATATATATATATATATATATAAAATCTTAAAAACAACTCATCTGGGTAGATTTTATTTTATTTTACAAAAGAGAAAATGAGGTTTAGAAGTGTTAATTAACTTGCCTAATGTCACTCTATTAACAGCTGTAGCTTCTTGCACATTACTGTGCTGCCCCTTCTGTCTCCATCCTCTGGTCTTCTCTGAAACAAGAAGCCAGAGTATTGCCTTGTTCTAACTCAACTGGGAATGTGCACATGAGGTGACTCACATTTTTGCTGCTCTCTGTGTGTCTGCAAATAATTGCAAAAGTGCTGTGAGTATTGATTTTGGGGTTATAAATGGACTTTAGCAAGTAGGTGAATTTGCAGATGCAGAATTTGTGAATAATGATGATCAACTAAGTATATACTTACCTTAAAAATTTTTAATGAATAATGGAAAAATAAATCATCAAATAAAACATTATCTATAAAGGGTGTTATTACCTATTAAAATGTAGTAAGTCACCTAAAAATGTAGTGGCATAAAAATGCACATTTGTTGTCTCACAGTTTCTGTGGGTCAGGAATATGACAGATTATCTAGGTTTTCTGCTTTAAGGTCTCTCACAAGTCTATAATCAAGTTATCATACAAGGATGGGGTTTCATCTGAAGGCTCCTTTGGAGAATGATCCACTTCCAAGGATCCAATCACAGGATTTTTGGCAGGATTCAGTGCCTCAAGAATTATTGAACTGAGGGTATTCACTTTCTTGTTAGCTGCTAGCCAGAAGACACTCACAATACCTTGCCATGCAGAATTCTCCAACATGGAAACGTGCTGATTTAAGGAGGCAAGAGAAAGAGTCTGTAAGGAAGATGGTAGTCACAATATTATAATCTAATCACAAAATGATATTCCCTCAATGTTGCCATATTCTATTGGTTAGAAGCTACTTACTTATATGAAGTGATTACACAAGGTCATGAACACCAGGAGGTTGGGATCATTGGCAGTCATCTTAGACACTTCCTAAAACAGAAGAAGGAAATAAGACAGAAGGGACAGAAATAGTACCCACTGTCCTTTGAATGTACCATGTTCTGTTTTTTTTACTTTAGAACCACAAAAAATTTACATAATTGTAAAACAAATTTTAGTACCCACTGTCCTTTGAATGTAACATATTCTGTTTATTTTACTTTAGAACCACAACAAATTTATATAATTGTAAAACAAAATTAAATTTTAGAAAATAATTCCAAACTTCTGCTTCTGGCCAGGATGAAATAACAGGGAATGAATGCAGACTTGTATTGGTCTGTTTTCACACTGCTGACAAAGATATACCCAAGACGGTAATTTATTTAAAAAATAAATTCCATGTGGCTGGGAGGCCTCACAATCATGGTGGAAGGTGAAAGGTACATCTTACATGGTGGCAGACGAGAGAAGTGAGAGCCAAGTGAAAGGGGTTTCCCCTTATAAAATCATCAGATCTCATGAGACTTATTCACTACCACAAGAACAGTATGGGGGAAACTGCCCCCCATGATTCAATTATCTCCCACTGGGTCCTTACCACAACACATGGGAATTATGGGAGCTACAATTCAAGATGAGATTTGGGTGGAGACACAGCCAGGCCATATCATCACTTATAACGGAAATGATTTTAAAAGCAGACAACTATATGAAACAATGGTTTTAAGACATTAGGCATCACACAGTAAAGGAGACGGTAATCCTCGAGAGATGAGAAACAAATGAATTGACCCCTTTGCCCAGTTTACTTCCTTGAGACAATTTCCAAGACAAACACAGGAAGAGGAGCCAGGCAGAGATCAGCAGACTCCAGAGTTAAGCAGAAAGAACTAGGAGTCTGTGGAGACCAGGGCAAAGGACTGGTCTTTCAACTTTTTGTTGAAAAAAAGTTGAAAGCTGCTCAGAGGGAGAACTCCAGATATTTGCAGAGTATTCAGTGGAGTACTGATTAGTGCAACTATGTAGAGAAACTACCAGAACCTGGGAAACAATGAAAGAATAAAAGGAAACAGTTGAGTTTATATTTAAAGCCAAGATTCATGTCCGTTCCTGCCAGCCAGAGTGGAAAACCTTACAATCCATGAGGTATTGGGAAGAGTGTGCGGAATGATGTTGCCTCAGTAGTGGGGAGTTATTAGTTCTAGATTAAAATCTTGCTCTGGTGTCACCTAATAAATCATACCTGAAGGGATCAAAGCATTCCCAAGTAACCTAACAAAACTGCAGAACAGTGGTTCAAAAATATGTATTAGAACAAACAGTATCTAGCATTCAACAAGGTAAAATTTGCTGTGTCTGGCATCAAATCAAGAATTATCAGGCATGTGTAGACTTAATGTTTTCCTGCTTAGATCAGGAACAAGACAAGTGTATTCACTCTCATCACACATTCAACATAGTACTGGAAATTCTACCCAATAAAATAACACAAGAAAACAAAATTAGAAGTGTGGTGTTCGCGCCAAAGGCTCGAGACAGTTAGTTGATTCGTCTCAGTTTGGCTGCTGGACCTGTACTGCATTTCCTCACCTCGAGGGCTGTCGAGTGAGACAAAGCCGTAAGCTGACTCACTAAAAGCAACAACAGAATGCAAAGCAAAGGCCTGCAGTTTATGAGGACATTGTGCTGTCTGCTTCCATGTCCCCCTTCAGTCTCTGTGTAAGCAATAAACTTGCTGCAATTGAAATGTCTAAGAGGAGCAGAGACCTCTGCCCATATTTTCCCTGGAGCCAAGCCTTTGTTTTAGCTCCTGATGCAAAACAGGTTTAACCAGCCACCTTAAGGGCGCCATTGTATCTTTAGAATGTAAAATCATTGAAATGTAAACTACTACCATTAGCCCCCTTAAACTGCTTCCTGAGCAGGATATCAAGCCCCGGATATCTATTTTATGGAGTTTTTGTTTCCTTTCTGTTTTCCCCTTTGTTTCTTTCTGCTGAGATGACGTAAATGTAAACAAGACAAAAGGTATAAAAGCTGTAACCCACAAAAATAAATTTGCTGCGTTTTGGCCATAATCTTCACGCAGCCCTCCAGACTCTACTTTTCTATATTCTTTCTTTTCCACGCACTCTCTCTCTCAGGTTGAACGAGACATCTACGTTGGCGGTCTCGGGGACTCCTGCGGGTCGGTAGTCCCCCGGCAGACGTGCCGGACCCCGACATAGAAGTATAAGCATACAGATCAGAAGGGGAAGAAATAAAAGTGTCTATGTATGTGCATGATATGCATGATTTGCTGTGTAGAAATCCAAAGGATTTTATAAGAAAGGCCTAGAACTGGAGCAATGTCAAAAAATATGGCAGAATAGGACACTCCTGACTGTCCCTCCTCACCAGATGCCCGAATAGACACCTACACATGAATCAGTTACTTTCAAGAGAAAGCCAGAGCTAGTTGAAAGACCTCTGTACACTGAACAATTAAGAAAATATCCACATGAAAGTGAGTAGAAAAAGCAGAGAAGCAGGTGAGGAAGGAGGGTATAAAAGAAAAAGCAGAGAAAAACTCATACACAAGCTCTACCCTGAGCACAGCACCTTGGGATTCCCATCTCCTAGGTTTTTCCTGAGGAAGGGGTCTTACCACACATATAGTACCCCAGCTTTTATGATCCCTGCCAGTGGATTTGGCTCTTAAGTTACCTTGCATGGAGAGGAGCAGGGATTTGGCACCAAATAATTTATTTGAAGGACAAAGATCACAGAGTGGTTTTGAATCATGCAAACACTCTCAGCAGCTATAGCTCATGGGTTCAGTCCAGCTTCTTTCTGGAAGGAGTTTGCACACTTTCCAAGCACCACCTGCATATGGGAGCTGATGGGGCAAATAAAGAATAAACCTCCTCCAGCCTCAATGGGAAGGACAGCACTCCTGTGCCTTCCACCTCAGCTTACAACAGCAATAAATCCAGGTCTGCAGGCTCTCCCTGAAAGGAGGTTGTGAGACTTCTGCAAGCTTGAACAAGAGAGTGGGTAATCCCCCACATCATCTCTACTGGCATGCTACAGCAAAAAATCCATGTCTGAAGACTCTCCCTAGAAGGAATTTCTGCATGCATCAAGTGCCCCAAATGCAGTCTGAATGCGAATGCAAGCATCTGTAACAGAACATTTTAGCTTAAATCAGAATGAGTGAGAGAGAAACTGTGGCTCTGTTTCTCCCTGAGGAAAGAAGTAACTGTAACATATATCTGACACTCTAGTTATCCAAGCTGCATTTTGAGAAACTGGTTTCTATTTCACCTTTCTCAGGGCACTAGCATGACTTGGACCACTCTAATTTTCTGGCAGCCACTAAGAACAAAATCAGTGAGTTGGATATGCTCAGACTTGAGAGGCACTTAGAATCTCTGGCTGGGATGACTGGTGAGGACCATTTCCTGCATGAGTCCAGTATAACAAGACTGAGAGAGGTGGTAGTTGTATCTAATATACAGAAACCAACATGGAGAATCAAAAAAAATGAAGAAACAAGAAAATTTGTTCCAAATAACATAACAGTATAAATCCCCAGAAGCTGACCCTAATGAAATGAAGATATGTGATTTATCTGACAGAGAACCAATAAAACAGTCATAAACATGCTCATTGAGGTCAAGACAGCAATGCATGAACAAATTTAGAATTTTAACAGATAAATTATCTTAAAGGTATAAAACAGAAATTATAGAGCTGAGGAACACAGTAACTGGACTGAAAAAAATAAATAGAAGTGTTCAGTAACCCACTATATCAAGTGGAAGAAATGATTTATGAACTAGAAAACAGGTCATTGGAAATAATCTAAATCTAAAAAGAAAGAATGAATGAATAAAAAAAGTCAAGATAGTTTAACAAACTTTTGGAAAACCAGAAAGTAGAAAAATATATACACTATTAAGTACCTGATGGAGGAGAGACAGAAAGAGACAGAAAACATTAAAAGAAATAAAGGAAGAAAAATTTCAAAGCCTGGAAAAGGAAAGATAAATCAGTAACTAAGAAAATCAGATGGGATAAACCACCAGATAAGATGAATCCATAGAGTTCCATGCCAAGACACATTATGTCAAATTCTCAAGAGCTAAAATCAGAGAAATTTGATAGCAGCAAGGAAAAGGTGACTTGTTACGTACAAGGAACTGCAATAAGACTACTAGAATATTTTTCAGCAGAAACTCCAAATGAGAAAAGAGCAGGATGATATATTCAAAATGCCAAAAAAAAAAAAAAAAACCAAAATACTATACCCAGTGATCCTGTCATTCAAAAACGAAAGAGAGATAAAAACTTTCTCTGACAATGCTGAGATTTTACAGATATCTAGGGGAAAATACAAGAATATATTAAACAACTAAGTGCTAATACATTAGAAAACTTAGATGAACAAATTTATGTAAAGACACTACGAAAATTCACTAAATATAATAGATAAACTGAAGTCCCATGTATCAGTTTCAAAAAACTGATTTGTGGTTTTGTAGTTAAACATATTCCCACAGAGAAAACTCAGGCCAACACAAATTCACTGGTAAATGATACCAAACACATAAGGAAGAAATACAATTTCTTGATGAATTCTTTCAGAAAATTAAAGAGGAGGAAATATTTCTCAAGTCATTCTATGAGGCCAGCATTACCTATACCTAAAGCTGATAAAGACAATTGAAAGGAGAACTATAGAGTATTATGCTTCATGAACAAAGACACAAAAATTTTAAATAAAATTTTAACAAAATTTAGCCATATATAAAAACAAAAAGACATCATAATCAAGTGGGGTTTATAGCAGCAATGCAACAATCCTTTAACGTTAGAAAATTCTTCAGTGTATTTCACTATATTCACAAACTATAAAATAAAATCTTTGTGATTATCTCACTAGATTGTAAGAAAAGCATCTGACAAAATCCAACAATTCTTCCTGATTAGGGAATAAAAGGAAATTTTATAAAAGGAAACTTCTTAAACTTAATAAAGGTAATTTTTAAAAACCAATGAGAAAC